GGTGCCGCAGGCTGTGGTTGTTGGGGGGTGCCGCAGGCTGTGGTTGTTGGGGGGTGCCGCAGGCTGTAGTTGTTGGGGGGTGCCGCAGGCTGTGGTTGTTGGGGGGTGCCGCAGGCTGTGGTTGTTGGGGGACGCCATAGGCACCCCCAAACAACCACATACTATGTTATAATAAATACTATAACTATCATCAAGAGTGACTGAGCTGAGGGGTTGTGTGACCTGGAAGGTGATAAGGGTGTGTTTGGTCATGAGTGCAGTTATGAGACATTCACTTATTTTGAGTTGTGGTAGTTTGCCGTTTTTTTGCATGGAAAATCTAAAAAGGTGGAGTGACCCTCGTGGTGATAATTATTAAATTATATCCACGGGTGTTAATATGCTTTCTTATTTGCTCAATCCAAATCGAATTAATTGATATAATGTAGTTGGAAGATGATTTAGAATGTTTTGGTGATGCAGATATGAGATTTTTTTGCGACATTTAGTGTTATTGTGTTATGTTGCGCTTCCAACGTATAGAATAATGGGGGGTTTTGGCGGCGGCTGCATTCTTGATTCAAATATTAAAATATTTTGTATGTTTATTGGCAGTAAAAATGATTTCCAAAATGTACATATTATTTATATAACTTAATATTAAATATTGCTTCGTTATTAATTATATAAGCAAGTTTTGTTTCATCATTAGACCTCCTTTGCCAGTACCAAAATGTAATAATAGGGGGGTTTTTCCCCCTATTATTACATTTTTTCTGGCAACAAAACTTAAACCTTTTTACAAGGATTCACGTCTGCATTGACCACAATACCTGCAGTCAAAATACAAACAAAAAACATACGATGATAATATATGCATTGTCCTTGAAACTGATTGGTCCACACCAAGGGACGGCTTTCTTTTGAGCCTCGACCCAATTGGTGCTCGACCAGATGACGCCAAAAGGCGTCGAGGCTCAAAAGAAAGCCGTCCCTTGGTGTGGACCAATCAGTTTCAAGGACAATGCATCATCATATTATCATAGTGTGTTTTTTGTTTGTATTTTGACTGCAGGTATTGTGGTTAATGCAGACATGAATCCTTGTAAAAAGGTTTCAGTTTTGTTGCCAGAAAAAAGGGAGAAAATAAACCCTATTATTAAGTTTTGTTTCGTTTATGCAGTATTATCATGGACAGTAGGACATTTAGGAGGCACTACAAATGTTTTTGTAAGATGTGTGTTAAATGTTTCTTGTTAAATATTTCTTAAATGATACGTATGTTAAATGTTCTCGATAAGCGGTTGTTATTGAGATTTTAGATGGACTCCGTGCTGAGGAATTGAGCTGAGGTGTTGTGTGATGTGGAGGGTGATGAGGATGTGTCTGGTCATAGCAGGCACGCAAATGGTCATCGGCAGACAACTTTTAAATAAAGCGTTGCCGTTTCACAAACCTATGGTGCTCGTCTCTTGTGGAGTCGTCGACTTCTCAGGAGGGCAGAACACAACACAGAGTATTTACTCATTGTCTTCGAACGTTATTATTGTTTATTTAGCCGACCTGTCCCCTTGTTCCAATTCACAGGAGAGGGGTGGGCCAGCTACAATAGCAAACACATGACCTGTATGAATGACCCCACTATTGCATGGCATCCCAAGATACAAATGCACTCGAATGTCTCATAAGAACAATTCGTATTACTCTCATGGGATCTGGAAATGACGGATTACGTATTGCTGTAGGCGGCAATACGTAATCGTGCAGAGCACTAAACTGCAGCAGTCTGTGTAAATGTTATGAAACCAGTGTAGTGAGTCCAAACGGAGTCGCAGACGTTATCTTGGGAGCAACACTATTTATTCCACATTGACACGCAACACAACACGAACTACACTCGGGTCTCGAATGACCCATCTAACCACGCTACGGCAGAACTAGACACGGTTCGCTATCCCGGTCCGGACCACAAGCTGGGTCCCAGACCACGTGGCTAGAGGCTTCTTCTGTCCGACGTGGATCTTCATAACACCAGCCCAAGAAGAACCCCGAGCTCCTCATGGATCCATCCTTATATGCCCCCGGGCTGGGGCTGGCTCCGCCCTTCACCACGCCCACCTTCCAGGTCTCTCGAGCTCCGTCTCGAAGGTTCCCGAGAGCTCCTTTGGACCAAGTGACCGCCCCATCCACCAGTGGCCCCCTCCAATATCGTCCAGTCACATGACAGCAGATCAACCAGCGTATCATGCCCCAAGGTAACCCTGGCTGACTGATGCTCCCTCTCGTTCCCTCACCGGGAACCCGCACCGCACACTGCTCGTGATGCCTCTGCGCTAACCAGAGCTCACCCAAGCCCCGCTAGGGCCGGTACTCCATCCCGTAACCCGGGCTGCCCGTAATGACAACACATTACCAGCCATGGCTTCGCAAGCCCCGGCACCATACAGTGACAAGCACAGTCACTACATCAGTAATAATTTACTGCCGTTTGGTTCACCCCTGGAAAAAATGGTGTCCCAGAAATGAAATATTTCATTGCCTTGGCCATTTTGTATTATTTGGTACCCCGGAGTACTGCCATAAGGATCATATCACCAACGTGTGCAAAACCTCTAATTCAAAATGGCCAAAGCCAGTGCTCCCAAGTGTAACAATTCCAACCCTATACATTGGTGACTTTAACAGCCAGAGAATGAGTTGGAGGTGCTGCTGCTGCTTGACCTGGAGCATGCTACTAAGAGGTGGGGCCTTATCACCAGATCCTCTAAATCTAACCATCTGCCTGGGAATTTTGTGTCATCAAACACTCCACTCCCTCAACTCCCCATTGGTGACGGGGCAGTTGTGGAGAGAGTGGAGAGGATTGCATACCTAGGCAGTGTGCTTATGAGCAGTGCCAGTTTGACAACAGAGGTCTCACTCCGAATCGAGCGACATCTTTTCATTGGCTGTGTAACGCTACCTGGTTTGTCGTTCCACACGAAGCTTCGGGTATTCTCGGCCATAGTCATGCCTTCCCTTCTCTATGCTTGCGAAATGTGGACCCGCCTAATGGAACATATTTGCTGGTTAGAAACATTCAGGCTGGCCTGCCTATGATTCATCCTAGTTTTAACCAGGCTGGATTTTGTGAGAAGCTCACAAATCTTTGAAAGATCTGGATATAGTCCCATCGGTGAGCTCCTCCAGCAGGAAATGCTACGTTGCCTTGATCATGTAGCCCACATGCCTAGCCACCGCATGCCGAAATATTTTTTTTTACGGTTGGATAGAGGAGGCTAAACATGTGTGGCAAGGCTAGAAAAGAGATGGAATGACGTGGTACAAGAGGATATGGAGCTGAGTAGACTTGCCAATGACTGGTACCAGCGGTGTCAAGACCGACATCTGTGAAGGAGGCTAATGAAGAACGCTACTGAGCAGTTGGAGGCAGTTGCCCTCCAACAACAACGAACCGCAGAGGAGCAATGCTCATGACAACAACGAGCAGAGCACCAATAGGGGGGCACAAGGTGGTGTATCTACCAGTCATCTCAGTCAGTTAAACCATGGCACCTGGATCTGTCCCATGCACTCCTGCCAGCACACTTTCGACACTTTACGTGGCCTCAAAGTGCACATAGCCTCGCACAAGCGATGTGCTGACATCATCGCCACTTCGTAGCCAATGGAGGTTGTTGTTTTGTGCGTGTACCTCCGGTTGGCACACGGTGCTACCAACCCGGCCACCCGAGTTTGATTCCCGCTCATGATCAACACCAGTGACTATTATCTGAATGGGTCTTGGGCCTCCCCGAGGTCGACTCAGCCTCAAAGAGTACCTAGTATGGTGTGAAAACATCTCCACTGGAGAATTATTGGAGATATTTTCGAGCATGGCGCTGGCCACCCACCCCATCGTGTGCCGTGTCGGTCTTTATAGGTGCTGCTTGTTAGCAACACTTACCCCAACAGTCTGCTAAGGCTTTACGAGGGATTGTTGGTGTGCACGCACGAATGCGCGTAAATGCCCCCGTGCGTTTGTGTGTGCAATTTATGTTTTAATTATTAAGTAATTTGTATGTCTCATGTTAAAAAAAGTTGTACAAGAGTGGAATATATTGTGGGTGAAACATATCTCACCTTTTAACATGGGAGTCAATGGGAAAACGATGATCCTTTAACGAATATTCGCTATATAAGCAATTTTCGCGGAATGTATCTAACTCGTTTATCGATACACCCCTGTATACTACTATAATAATGTTGGATCCTAAGTATTTAGAAATACTCAGCTCTCCTTTGCCTAACCCAATTTCCTCCATGTTAAGGTATAGAATTTCACTAAATTCCATTATATGACAGATCTTACGTGTGAGAGAGCATGTTTATTTATCTGCTTGATATAAAGTAGCTGATGCTCTTTTTGTAGCTTAAATAAGAATATTGGGTATTTTTATCTTTAAATAAAGGCTGCATCATTTGTACTTTACAGGACAATACTAATGCTTGTACGTGACATGGTACTATTGTTCATAATAAGCCTACGTGTTAAAATGCCTACGTGTTAAAATGGTACTATTGCTCTTAACATGGTCTTAAAAGCACAAGTATCGTGTTTAATTTTAGAAAATCAATCATTAACTCACAGTATTGCAGACTATAAGACTAATACTGTTTTGCCCTCAGTTGACAGCAATAAATGAACAACCAGATGCATATATATGAGAGCTCGCCCTCAACAATTTCAGCGAAAAGCTCCATTGGCAACTTTGTATTATGAGCGTTTCGCCATTCAATAGCACTGGTTGTGATCGTCTTCATTGAATCTGCATTGTGATATTTTGTTTATTGAGAAGCACACCGTGAAGTTTGACTGTCATGCTGAGGAAGAGCATTGGAAGGGTCTGGCCATGGGGCTGTGGGTGTCCGGTCTACCTACTGTCTGCATTCTGTCTGATCGTGATTGTCTATGTGACTTTGTCAGAGTGGCTTGTGCAGCCTCAAGTCGAAAGTTTAAGTCGTTTGTTTGATAGACGTCGTGCTTTAAGCACAAGGGACAATTCGGACTCAACCATGGCGAGTAGGACTCTTGAAATGTCCCTTAAAAACATTCATGACAAAGGTAAAAATCTGGACAGTGACCCAGAGTATGAGTACATCCTGAATGAGCCTGAGAAATGCCGGATTAAAGATCCCTTCCTTGTGGTGCTCATCACTTCAGTGCCCAGAGAACTGGAAAAACGTCAGGTGATCCGAGAAACCTGGGCCAATGAGACGCTATTGCCAGGCATTGTGATTAAGATACTTTTCCTGCTGGGGTCCATACCTGCCTTGACCAAGGCCGACCCACTCGACTTACAGCAGCAGCTCAAAGAAGAGAGCCATCAGCACAGAGACCTACTCCAGCAGAACTTTGTGGACGCTTACGACAACCTGACGCTCAAGACCATGATGGGCCTGCACTGGGTGTACGCTCACTGCCCGCATGCCGCGTACGTCATGAAGACGGACAGTGACATGTTCGTGAATCTCGAGGTCCTGGTGAAGGTCGTTCTCAAGCCTGAGCTGCCACCTCGTCCTGATTATTTCACGGGACACGTGAAGTGGAGCATCTCTCCGAATCGGAACAAGAAGAGCAAGTGGTACATATCCCCCGAAGAGTTCCCAGGAAAGAAATACGCTCCGTACTGCGCTGGCGCAGGGTACGTCTTCTCGGGGTGGTTGGCATCGCAAATGTACAGGACGTCTCGTGTCGTTCCAAGAATTAACTTTGAGGACGTTTATGTGGGACTCTGCTTGGAGAAGCTAAATGTCAAGCCGGTCGTTCCACCCCGAGGTGTCTCTTTCAGTACGCTCAAAGTACCTTTCTCCGTGTGTAAATACAAGCAAATTGTGACGTCCCATCGCGTTTCCCCACCCGAGTTGCGTCTTTACTGGGATCAACTGCAGCAGAACAAAAACAGCACGTGTGGAACAGCAAAGCGCCGAAGACGCGTGAGTCTGCCTGCACGGGGAAATCACAAAGCAGCATTAAAGAAAAATATCACACAACTGACTCCGTAGCTGTATAGCTCTCTGACATGTTTGGGTTATACTACATGTTGTACAGCACAATATCGGATCTTTTCACTCCACATTCTACATAATTAAATAATAAATGATTAAGTTCCTGAAAAGCTCTCAGCATGTTGAGCAGAACGTCAGATATCATTCTGGACAATCCGAAAACATATTGGAGATGTTTTGCAAAACTGAATGTGGTCGGTCCATAAATATGCGTCTTTCTTGCTAAACAATTGTTCCCTCGATTGTCTATAACCTAGATATAAAGGATACTTGCATAGATAAATGGACACATACGATACACGCGTACTCAATTGATCACTATATCTTACTCTACCGATGGGAAGTCTTGATGGGGATCTCGGGCACCACGTTGAAATGGCTGAACTCCTATCTCCGAGACGGCAGGCAATTTGTCACGATTGGCACCTATAAATACACAACTAACTTAGTTCCTCACGGTGTTCATCAGAGATACGTCAGTATGATGCCCCATTCAATTAGATGTCTATTTGGCCCCAGTTGGAGCTTTCTTATGACACCTTGGGCTCAGCTATCACTGTTACGCAGATGACACTTAGATCTACCTACAGTTTGGATTGGATGGTATATCTACATTTTCCTTATTAGCATAGTCAACTTATCATGTCAAAACCTGGATGTCTCAAAACTTCCTAAACATTTCTGATAAAACACAGTTTATTTTAATGCGTACACCCCATCAGGTGCCCAAATCAATCCCTCTTAACTTGGTTTTTGATGGTTGGAACGTTTATTAAACACATGAGGTCAGCAATTTTGGTGTCCCAGATCAAACTTTTTCCGTTTAGTCTCATGTCAACAGACCCGTGAGAACCTCTTTTTCCACCTGAAAAACATATCCTGGCTCTATCATATCCTTAACACTGCAGACACTGAAGGACTAATCAACGCATTTGTTTTCTCTCGCATTGACTACTGTAATGCCCTGCTTTTTGGAACCTCGAAGAAGCTCCTAAACAGGCTGCGCAGTATGTTCAAAATGCGGTTGCCAGGGTGCTACCTGGTAAACCCTTTAAGGATCACATCACACATGTGCTCCTGTCCCTTCACTGGCTCCCTGTCTGTACCCGTATTGAATTTAAGATTCTGTTGCTGGTATTCAAGGCATTAAATGGACTTGCTGCTCTCTACATCCATGACCTCCTTCAGCCATATATTCCATCAAGATCATTAAGATCATCAAATTGTGCATTGCTCACCGCCTCACAGTCTCGGCTTCACACTTGGTGATGACGGTGCCTTTTTTGCAATTGCAGCAACCAAACTCTATAACTCCTTGCCATTCGAAGTTAGGACTTCCGAGACACTAAAATGTTTAAAATTCCCACTAAGAACATATGTTTAAAATGGCTTCCTCTCTTTAGTTATTTTCAAACGTCTTTCTCACTTATTTTTTCCTTGGTTGATGTTAACTATTTCCGCCTTCGCATGCATTGTGCCCTGAGAACGATTGTATAAGGGCGATTCATACATTTTTTATCATTATTATTTTTACCTACACACACATGTAGAGCACCAACGTACACAAACCAATGCGTGTAGGATATGAGCTAGAACACCATATTTTGAAGGGTTTCGCCACTAATAAGATTACCATGATATGATACTAAATAATAATAATCATTAGCCGTGTTGTGGAGAATATATATAAAAAAACAGATATGCAGACAATAGTCTCCTTCATGTTCTGTTTCCTCACACTGTACGATACCGACTGCCATGCAGCGTACAATGTAAATACCATGATAATTGTACTATCAGTTTTGCAGAATATCTGAATATTTGTGATCTTTTACACTTTTTATATGTTATTTTCTGACGAACATTCGTGAAATAAATACAGTAATTAAAGTTGTTTTAATATATATTATTACAGTTACCCATTGTGCATATTTTCTGTATCACAACTTTAAGTTGAATTTTGATTTAAAGCTTTTGTGACTGCAGGGATTCATATTCTTGGTTCTTTCGGTAAAGTCACGTAGAAGGGAAACAATAACATAATAGATTTTCTTGCTGTGGTTTTCACACCTGATGATGATTGCTTGTGTTGCAGTCGAAACGTCGTGAGAATTTTATTGTTTTATATTTGTATTATTTTATTGTTTCCCTTCTACGTGACTTTACCGAAAGAACCAAGAATATAACTTTAAGTTGAATAGTCGTTACATTTACGACGTCTTTCTTGTGTAACTGACAGCAATGTGGGTTGTAAACATTAATCGTGAAGGTTCAGGCTTAACTTGAGTGAACTGCGGTTAAAGCACATTAAAGTAACCTTCATTTCTATTCGAAGTAAAGTAAAGAAGTGAAGCTTCGAATAGAAATGAAGGTTCAAAATCAAGGTTAAAAGCAATCATATCCGTCTCGCCAAAATTTACATTTTATAGTATCATGAAAAATTATATCGCAGTCAACCCAGTAATGAACATGCTGAAAATTATTTGAGTGGTTGATGATGTCAATACATCTCTACTGTATGGTATTGTTTGATGTCATGACTGCTGACAAGTCTGATTGACGCTACCTCTCTATGCTGTGTTCTAGTAACAATCAAGTAACCTTAACGATGCTATGCTCTTTGAAATCATGAACATTTTTAATTCTGAGTTTGGAAAGTCAAAACAATGTTGTTGATGTTTTTTTATATATATAAAAGAAAAAGTGAGTTTTGAATGTGATGCGAGACTGCTTTTGAATTAAATGTAACTTTCACTTCCTTGTCTCTAGTTGAATTGATGACCAGATGCGACCAGGGTTAGCTGGAGTTGGGGAACGTTACCCAGCTACATCACAAGTTGTCTCCGTTTGAATGGTAAACTCAAGCAAGTGAGACACTGTTCAGAATTATGGTTGCTAAATCATAGGTCGTTTATGAAAATTAGCGATATCGCTCAGGGGCCTTATGTGGTCAAAAATAAAATTAATATTTAAAAAATGTAGCCGATAAGCCGGTGACCGTGTTCAGAATCAATTGCTGGTTCTCACAATCAGGAACCAGTCATTGTTTCCCGTTAAATTGTGTATTGAATGCACTCATTGGCATGTGCAAATCTACTCACTCATGGTTAACGTGTAATGTTGGTCTAACAAAGACTAACCGAAAATGCAAGAATAGGACACGAAATTTCAAGAAAGGCCGAAATGGGCAGAACAATTTAATGAAGCAATAAAATGATCTATTGTCAAGTTATGAACTACTATAAAAAGATACACTTTAAATGTTCAACAAGTAACGTGACATACTTAAATGTTAAAGACGAACTTGTATAATTCAAATAGCTGATCCATGGAGCTCTCAAATACACAACCTCTCCATACTTACATCTTGATTTGAAGCTTTCGTGACTGCAGGGATTCATATTCTTGGTTATTTCGGTAAAGTCACGTAGAAGGGAAACAATAAAATAATAAAAATATAAAACAATAAAATTCTCACAACGTTTCGACTGCAACACAAGCAATCATCACCTGATGATGATGATTGCTTGTGTTGCAGTCGAAAATAATTTTATTGTTTTATATTTTTATTATTTTATTGCTTCCCTTCTACGTGACTTTACCGAAAGAACCAAGAATATGACTCTCTATACTTAGTTCAATCCTAACAGTCAGTTGCCAAACTGACAGCACTCGAATTCAGGGGCCCTTTCCCTCTGCCAGTCACCGCTAATTTTAACGAAGCATCACGAGCCAGGATTTCTTGTCTCATCTCATATCGAATTATATGGTGCATTATTCCAAGGCAACTTAAAACAAACAAAAAAATGTACATAAGCTGATAGTGGTTTACATAAAAGAGTGGAGTTATTCAAAGTGGTGGTGTAGTTATGGGGACATAAATACAGGTGGGAGTGGTTAAGGAGGGGTTGGGGTAGGCCTTGTGTTAGCTGGGGGGGGGGGGGGAGAGGGCAGGGAGTAGCAGTAACAAGATGGACTAGAGAGAAGAGATGGGTTCTAAGGGTGGAATGGTAACAGGTAAGTGAAGATGAAGGTTCACCTTGGCGGTGTTGAGAAACCCGCCATCATTTGTAGCCAATACGTGGATTGCGATCCATGTCTAGTGAGTCCAACTGAGTTGCAGACCTTGTCTTCGAAGCAACACGTTTTATTACATCAACTCAACACAACATAATGTAACCTACACTCAGGTGTTGAACACGCATCTAACCACGCTACGGCAGAACTAGACACGGTCCCGCTATCCCGGTCCGGACCACGAGCTGGGTCCCGGACCGCGTGGCTAGAGGCTTCTTCAACCCGACGTGGATCTTCACTCACCAACAGTCAAGAACCTCGAGCCCCTCACGGGGGCCCCCGTTATATCGGCCTGGGCTGGGGCTGGCTCCGCCCCTCGCCCCGCCCACCGTCTAGATCTCTCGAGTTCCTTCCTGAAGGCTCCCGAGAGCTCTTCTATACCACGTGACCACCCAGCGGCCCCCGTCCACCTGTGGCCCCCCTACAATATCATCTGGTCACGTGTCAGCAGGTCAACCAGCGTATCATGCCCCAACGTAACCCTGGCTGGCTGATACTCTCTCTCGCTCCCTCACCGGGAGCCCGCACCGCACACTGTACGTGGTGCCTCTGCCCTAACCAGCGCTCACCCAAGCCCCGCTAGGGCTGGTACTACGCCCTGTAACCGGGCTGCGCGTAATGACAACGTATTATCCACCGTAGCCTCGCAAGCCCGGCACCACACAGTGACATTCACAGTCACTACACATGCAATAAGACGTTTTGTTGATATCAGGACAAATTAGGACACATAAGTACACACGAGTAGCCTGTAGAGTGCTGGGTCACAATTGACTTAGGGCAGATGTGGGAGACTTTAGGCCACGCCCCTTCCTCTGGACACATAAAGTGGGGCACGTGACTCGCAGCCCAGCGTCACGTGGTGCGCCGAGAGGTGAGGAAGTGTGCACACGGAGCTGGGTATTTGAATTTTAAACTAT